TTAGGCTCATGTTGTTTGTCTTTCATGTAGGTTTTGCTTTTCCCTCTCCGCTTACTGGTAGAAATGACGTTTCTCTTCATTCTGTGTGTCTTAAGGCAACGACTTCCTGATGTGTGAAATTGAGAATGGCGGTATGCTGGGCAGCAAGAAGGGCGTCAACCTGCCTGGAGCTGCTGTCGACCTGCCCGCTGTATCTGAGAAGGACATTAAGGACCTGCAGTTCGGCGTGGAGCAGGGTGTTGACATGGTCTTCGCCTCCTTCATCCGTAAGGCTGCTGATGTTCATGCTGTCAGGAAAGTGCTGGGCGAGAAGGGAAAGGACATCAAGATCATCAGCAAGCTGGAGAACCACGAGGGTGTGCGCAGGTGGGTCGATTCCCAGTGGTCACGCTTGAATCTTCACATATCTGAATCTTTGGGGGACTGTTTGACTGATTATTTGTGTGTGATAGATTTGATGAGATCCTGGAGGCTAGTGATGGCATCATGGTTGCCCGTGGCGACCTGGGCATTGAAATCCCAACAGAGAAGGTCTTCATCGCCCAGAAGATGATGACTGGCAGGTGCACCAGGATCGGCAAGCCCATCATCTGTGCCACACAGGTCTGTGACATCAGTAGGATGAATAAAAAACCTAGGAAAACCTTTTAAAAAGCAAAGTGTATCAGAGAGTTTTGTTGTTTCTCCTCAGATGCTGGAGAGCATGACCAAGAAGCCTCGCCCCACTCGCGCTGAGGCTAATGATGTCGCCAATGCCGTGCTGGATGGCAATGACTGCATCATGCTGAGTGGTGAGACCGCCAAGGGAGACTACCCCCTGGAGGCCGTGCGCACACAGCACATGGTAGGAGCGCCCCCTACTGGTCCCATTTATTGATTGAAGTGTTACATCTTGCTTAGTGTTATGTGTGGAAAATATAGGCATCTTTCATATTGAAAGATTGTACCAGTGTTTTGCATTTGGTCAGTTATTTTAATTTGATGTGAAAATTGAGCCAATGGTAATGCCAAAAGCTGCCAAATTCACATGATCAAGCAATGCATTTGTGCTGGTGACTCTTATTTGTCAGGGCTTTATATAAACTGTTTTCTGGAGACCTTGAGCCGCTTTTTGTACTTTGTATTTTGGTCTGTCCAGCTCTCCAAAACAGTTTCACAATTTATTGTCATCATCTGATCAGCTCAGTGAAAAACAAGGTCATAAAGTGACTAAAAGTTACTTGAATATAGTGTTTGCTTTGTAGTATAAGCTATATTTTGTAAATTATGTAGAATGAAGAGAAAAGCAGCTTTTACATTGTGAGCACATCGTTGGTATCAGCTTGGGTTTTACTAACAGCTTGTTTAGTATTTGTTCGACTTGCTTTGTGTATCCCTGTTGCACCCGCTCCTCCCTCGGTCCATCTGCTACCATCTCTACATCTCTTCTTGCATCGTGCTTTAATTGTGTGATCATATTACTCAATTAGCATGTGTCTGAGAATCTGTAGTGCACAGCTATTGTTTAGCTTCATCTATCAGTGTGCTTTCAGGTATGAAGACCTCTGAGGTTAACTGCCTTTTTTTTTGTGATTTGTCCTTTAAAATGCAAACTAACTCCTGCAGTTAAAACTGGCTGCATGAGTGCAGCCCGGCACTTCTGTAACCTGTTTTTTTATTTTCTTTCACACATTCAGATTGCTCGTGAAGCAGAGGCAGCCATGTTCCACAGGCAGATGTTCGAGGAGCTTCGTCGCACCTCTCATCTGACCCGTGACCCCACAGAGACTGTCGCTATCGGTGCCGTGGAGGCTTCCTTCAAGTGCTGCGCCAGCGCCATCATTGTGCTCACCAAGTCTGGAAGGTGAGACTCAAAGAAGAGGTCCATCTTGTAAATTTCCTCTGCAGTGCTCTGACTCATAATGTCCTCCACGGCACCCACTGTGAGCAAAGAAGCTGGTGCATTATAATATCTCTCTACCTCTCCGCCTCCACTCCCTCCCTCAGCTCATATGAAATGTGCCAACTTCCACGGCACTCACAATCTGTGCTCCACTTGTGACCTTTTGAGATCTGAACCCTGACATTTTACAAGTTAATTTTAACTCCCTGTTCATGCCTCTCCATTTGGGAGTTCATCCACACAACACATGATCGAGGACGTACTACTGTCAGCTGGATGGATTTCCTACTGATAATGGCATATTTAAAGCAGCTATATACTATATCCATGGATCAAATTACTCTGCTGTTCCCCTCAGCTCTATGGAGCTTTATAGTGATGGCCCTTAATGCCATTGTTTAGTTTTTTTGTAAATTGAGGTTTAAATATAAATATTTTAAACATTTTTGTAATAATTTGTACCTGTTACATACAGGTCTGCTCACATGCTGGCGAGGTACAGGCCCCGTGCCCCCATCATTGCTGTGACCCGCTGTGGCCAGACCGCTCGCCAGGCCCACCTGTACCGTGGTATCTACCCCGTGCTCTACACCAAGCCTGCCAACGATGTCTGGGCCGAGGACGTTGACCTGCGTGTGAACTTTGCCCTGGAAGTTGGTGAGTGTTTTGTTGCATAGAAATTATTCTCAAATACGAAGACTTTTAGAAGTAGTGAAATTATTAGAAGGCTCAACACGGCAGCCTCCGTGGAAGGCAACCTGCGGTGTCTGTAGATTAAAAGGCTCATTCTAAGGTAATAAACACATAATAATTCTTGTTTCCAGGTGATTACACACTAATGAAAACATACCTATGCATATTATATATTTAATTTCTGCCAATAGATCTTCCTAAATGTTACACATTAGACCTTTAACTGAATCTCTTTTTTTACACTGATACCTCTCTGTTCTCTATCCATAGGCAAGCACCGCAAATTCTTCAAGTCCGGTGATGTGGCCATTGTTGTTACTGGCTGGCGCCCCGGTTCCGGTTACACCAACACTATGAGAGTTGTGCTGGTACCTTGAACTTCATCAAAGGACATTAGTAACCGCTCCCCCTCCCCTCTCCTGTAACCTGCGTGCCCCCTCTGTCAGACTGTTTTTTTTGTTGGTCCGATAACTGACCAAAACCAGGCCGCTCCTTCAAAGGACTTTTGAGGGTGTCGTTCACAGTAACTCTCTGATTCCTGTCACCTATATGTGTAATTTATTGTCTAAATCCTGCTGCCAGACACTGAACTCAAAACCTTTTAGTGGAAATTCTGTTGTGTGTGTGCTGACTCTGTTTGCATGATGAGCACAGTGGAAGTCAGTGTTTCTCAGCATGCACTGTGAACTAAACTCCAAATACATGTTATGTAATTTCTTTGGTTTTGGGTTTCTTTATTTGTCCAGGGATAAACATACATATGCACTGATATTCTCCACTGTTCAATGCTGAACTCACAGTTGGTACAAAGTGTACTTGTGAAGTAACCTAGCATGACTTCCATCCATTAAAAGGAATTCTGGGGTCAACTGTGTTTGTCTTCTTGTACTTACTGTCCCACTAAACTGAGACAAGAGTCATTTTTCATTCAGTATTTTGCAGTACTATAAGCACCTCTGTGAGATACAGGGAGAGATAGATGCAACAAACCAGCTACGTTGCATATCAGTAGTATGATGTTACTAAAAGATTGAAACTGCTAAATTATCTAATGTGTCAAAGAACAAGAAGATAAAATAAATTAGCAAAAAACTTGACGGTTTAGATTCATCATAAGACAAGATCACTGTTGGACAGGACAGTCTCAGTGTGTTAATGGCAACTTACAGAGGCGGGAAGTAATGAAGTACAAAAGATTTGTTAATATACCTAACTAAACTACCTGAGTAGTTTTTTTTTCAAGTATCTACTTAACGTATTTATTCTTCTTTTAACCTTAACTTTTACTCACTACATTTTCATGCAAACATTTGCCCTTCAACAGCTTTAATGGATTTGAGGGGAATTTTCTTTTTCTTTTTTTTTGCATTACTGCACGCCTTCCCAACATCATATGACAAGATGAAAACGACAAAACAGACCGGCGAGGGAGATTTGACCCTATTTGAAGTTTCACTCAGCTTTTCACAGAAACAGCTGGTAAAAAATGTCCTTTAGAGAAACCAAGAGAGTACTTTTTACTTTTATACTTGGGAGTACATTTTAGAGCCTGTACTGTTTCATTTTACTTGACAAAGGTTGAATCAGTACTTCTACTTTTACTGGAGTCTTTTTTTACACAAGTATCTGTACTTTTGCTACCTCTGCATCTTTATGACAAGTCCAAATAGTACCTCTGTAGTTGAGGTCAAGGGAATTATTCACAACACCTTTATAAAGGCATTTCACACTGTAATAACAAGTCGAAATGATACCACTTAATGTCAAGTTGTCGTAACAAAGACATCTTAAACAATGTCAACTTTGCATTAAAATTTAGATAATTGACCAAATGTCACTTAACGACAACAGTCATAAACATTCAGAGAGTCTGGTTCATGACAGGTGCCATGTCAGTTTTATGCTCACCCCTTCAAATTGAGTGTAACCAAATATTTCATATTGAACACTAAGGGTCTCCATAACAATCAGACCTCCAGAAAGCTCCAGTGATCAAGTATTATAAACTATCGTAGTGGTTGGAAAAATACTTGTACTTGGGTAAAGCCTGCAATAACTCATAGGAAAAATTGTATCAGACTATATAATAAATGCAATCTTTAAAGTTCAGTTTTCTCTGCTTTGGATCGACCTTGCAGCTTCATCTTGAAGTAAAAAAATATTATTTTAATCTAACCTTGCAGTAGCACTGAATCAAATATCTATATTTTCTTACATCACTCCATGAACACATGAGCAAATAGTTTTCTTTGTATTGACGAGTCAAATATTTGACAGATTATAATCCTGGCTATTTTGAATGTTGGCACCATGCAGTTCTCAATGTATAATCCGGCTTAAAGTCTGAAACTTCACCAGCATTTTATCAGCTTCTCCATCGTGCCACACTCTGCTCTTGGAAAGAAATCACCAGCTAGGACGAGCATCATTGACCATATGTTATTTTATTGCATTGAATTCAGTAGCTAAAATAAAATATGCCTAACATACATAGGTGATGGAATCCTCAGATTTGTTGGTTAAAAGGCAGCAAAATGAGATAGAAATATATAAATGCATTAATGACTGACACCTCCTCTCCTGCACACACTTTTTTTAAGTTGAAAGCACTCAAAGTAACCTCACACTCAATCCGAGCTGATGCCTCTGGCAGGTGGAGTGGTGATGCGGGGTTGGAGGAGAATAGTAATGAGGGATTGATCGAGCCCATTGGCAGTTACTGGCTAGTGACTGATAGTATCTGTCCTCCTTCAGGGGGGTCAGAGTCACAGCACACCTCAGGTTAAGTGACCAGGCAGCTAAAGCCACTGGACAGGATCTTCGATGGTTTGACCTGCTGACCAGCTAGCTGCTCACAGTTCCTTGCTAGCCGTAGGTCCAGAGTGAGAGAGAGAGAGAGAGATCTAAACACATGGACTTATTAACAAGTAGAAGTATTTAAGAGTCTGGTTTTTAAAAAAAGCAGTCATTGATACAAGTCTTATTGATTCAGCATAGCATCACAAAGCAGCAATTGTTCAACAACAGATGTCAACTTTTACAACAAATAATGTAAAATGAAAGAGGTAAATATTCAGCAATATGACCCAACAGGGTTCCTTGTTAACTGTGTGTCCAAGTAACTGCTTTTAGCCCTTTGACTGGTGCAAGAAACATTCAGATCAGTCTTGGTGCATTGCTGGTTTCAGGATGTTTGATTATCCACAGTTGCTTTTTATTCCATTTAATTCCCTTATTTTTATCAGTTCTAACTGAAAAACAGAACATCACTCACAACTCTCATTGACAAGTGCTTTGATTCACAGTACCTTTGTAGACCCATAAAAAAACACAGATTATTGCATACTATGCTGATGGCACACAAACCTTGGCTCAGGTGTATGTTCTGTACCAGAGTTATTGTCAGACCAAAATGAGTTGGCATCAGGTTTTGCGCCTCGCGCCGGAGCAGTCGCAGAGGGACGAAACGAACATGTGTGCGTTGTCTCTAAATCTGGTTACAACTTCCATCAGTTCAACACATTTAAGAATTAATCCCGCATCTCCCACTCAGACAGACAAACATTACATTACATTCATTACTTCAGTTTTTTTGAATGTGATTTGATTTGTGTGACCCATTTGGGTGTGCAATATTGCTGAAACACTATCTTGGAAGACTTGCCGTCATCAAACCGTTGCGTTAGGTGATCTCTGAAACGAGCAAAGTGCACAGTCTGTCTCTCCTCTAATCTCTTAAGGGATCATTCACCTGCATTCACCTGATACACTCAAGTGGTGGAAAGGGATATAAAAAAGGACAATATTTTTTGGTTTCAATCATAACTGGACACAGTTGTGGACAAATTTCCAACTAAACAGGTGTAGCTAAAAGGTTACACAAAATTGCTGGGACAATGGGGTTTAAACAAATACTTATAACAAATCACAGAGTGTGGTTATAATACAACACATAGAACAATTGATATTTTCATGAGGTGCTATATATACCCATCAATAGGTTTTGGATTTTATTACTGTTTTCAAAGATGCAATATCCTGTAGAAAAAGAATATCCATCATTGTCCATTATTATCCACGATCCATTCGTTACGATTGAAAATGAAACCACTGGTCTCCATTCCAAGTATAGAAACACACCCTCCTACTTTAAAATTTGACAAAATAGTGGTTAAAACAATGCCGAGAAGGAAATGATCTCCCTTCTTTTGTTCAGGCATTAAAGGAGGGTGTGTCTGAACCTCACAAGTTGGATGGAAGTTTGGACTGTTTGTGTTCGGTCTCTAACATCTTAGCAGGGGATCTAGCGTGGGGTGAATGGACACCAACAAACTGGTTCTGAGGTTCAGGCTCTGAATGTGTCCGACTGACAGGAGTCGCTTGACCCGGGATCGGGCTGTAGGGTTTACTGACAGGCATGGGGAAGGAGAAGGGGCCTGATGTCCCCGCTACCCCCTTTAAGGAGCCGCTCATGGCCAAAGGCCTTTCCTGGTGTATAGAGCTGTGAGAGCCTGAGATAGTCTTTATTTCCTGGGTAAAGAGATCCACCGAGGAGTCGGCCCTCTCTTTGAGGGTACAGGGCACCCTGGCAGGGCATGAGGTCTGGGGGGTTAGAGGGCTGTGAGAGCCCACGTTGCTGGGGAACTCACTGGGATAAAATGTCCTTCCTCTCACAGGGCTCTGTATGCTGGGACTGTGGACTGGAGGCGTGTAGCAGGGCGAGGCCTCAGCAGAGCCGTACTGGGCCAGGGAGGCGAGGGCTGAGTGTTCGGGGAGAACCTGGGGGAGGAAAACAGACTGGAGACCTGCAAGGCTGTGCTGCGCCAGAGAGGCTGCGGCCCCGGCTCCGACTGCAGACCCTGGGTGAGTATATCCACTGGAGGAGTGGGTGCTGGTGATGAAGGGAATATGCGGGAGGTTCAGACCACTGGATGTCCTGCCTGCTCTGGCATGACTGTACCCAAGCTGCTGCGGGGTGGCGTGAGAGGTCTGCTGTAGCTGGCTTAGTATGGGACCGACTGAGCTTGAGATCAGAGGGCTTATGGTGGAGGCAGATGGGGCTGGGAATCTCCCTACTAGTCTCCCTGGCACCCCCTGCTGGAGTAAACCTATTGGGTGTGGCGGGGTGGTCATAGCACCATGGAAGGGCTGAGAGTGGAGCTGAGCGGAGCAGGTGTAGGAGACAGTGGCTTGGCTGGTGGGGAAGACTGAGGCAATGCCGGAGTGGGGAGGATGGGGTGGGGGCTGGTGTGAGGGCAGAGGGCCCAGAGGCTGCAGGCTGCTGGTGAAGATGGGCGAGGACATCAGTGTGGGTGACACAGGTCCAGCGGAGAGATGGTGTGTCCTGAGGGACGCCAGTGTGGGAGTCTCAATCCCAGATCTGAATTTGGTGGAGCTGGCAGGAGAACTGGGCCCCGAACCACAGGTGCTAGACGCGTTCGCTCCAATGTGGACTCTCTTTGGATAGCTGGTGTGGTCCCTCAGGGAGCCTGGTGCCAGAGGATGGTGGAAAAGGATGGGTGGCAGCTGAGATTGGTGGGCCAAGGCCAGAGCCAGTGGGGTGGTGGCAGCAGCAGCCTGGAGCGGGGCCTGAACTAGGGGGGCCCAGATGACGGGGGTGGGAGATGGGGGTGCAGGGGTAGGGTTTAGGCTGGTCTGGATCAGATGCGTGCATTGGGCCATGTCACGGTCATGTTGCACTATTCTTTGGATGATCTCGCTCTCTTGAAAGTTCAGAGTGCCAGAACTTTGGTGATGCTGGACTTTATGTTGAAGAACAGAGTTCCTCTTTCCTGTTAAGAAAATACAAATAAGGCCATGCTTTTTCATTAATGAGCTACATACTACATATTATTAGGACTTCAGCTCCATAGCCTTGTCTCTCTTAACAAGAGGGTTTAAATGTGATAGCACATATATAAACACAACATATCTATATAGCTGCAACCAAGTTACATGATTGTTGTGTGAGGCATTACAGTACAGCACAGTTTCTGAAACTGTGAAGACTGAGTGGGATCCAAACTTAGTACCGAGTATAAACCTTCAAATGACTAATTTCTTATTCTATACACACACAACTCTTCCTGTAGATGAAAGCAAAAGGGTTTATTAATCCATTGGCCCTTGTTAAACACAAAGACTTTTCCAAAAGAAGATGTTGCATTTTGTCTATAAATTCCACAACAAGTTCCAAAAAACTCCAGACCTCCACTCTCAACCCACATGCACCTAACTATCTCAGTCTCAAACGGACATGCATGTATTTCTGTTAAATTAGAAATTAAACCTTTAAACACTACACCCAGTCACTCCTGATTAGACACTCCCAGAAATGTATAAAAAATCCTCCAAACCATTGGAGGGCAGAACAAAGACACGACATATGTGAATTACATCGACATTTCACATTTATAATCATGTTGAATTTGGGTAATATTTTAGTTTAGTTTGTTTGTTGTTCATCATATTTTTACATTTGTAACAGCCTGAGGAAGATCCCTTATACTGAGATTGTGGATGTATTAATGATGTGAGAATAATGAGGACCTAATTTACTTTAAGAATCAAATTGAATCCACTGTTTAATGAGAGTGTTGTGATTGTAATATTTCCTTTTCGTGGCTTCAAGAAAAACATCCATTCATTCATCCTTGACTTCTTTTAATAAATTGTTGGAACAGCTTTGTTGCATCCTGTCCCCCACATATCACATATTCAGTCAGCCAAAGCCACCACCAAAAACATATGTAAATAATATATAATTATTCAATAGACCAGCCTTAAACATAATATATGCAGAATAGAACCAAAAATTAAACATCAACGCAGAAATAATTATTAATATTTATCTCTAACACCTGAAATGAAACACGTTTTATCTCTAGAGAAAGGACTTACCGATGCGGTCCAAGCGGTCCAGAGCCACAGTCTCAAAGGCCCTCCTCATCATGGGAAACTCCTCCAGAACCTCGTTGAAGTTGTCCACCGACAAGGAGTACAGCCGACAGTAGTTATCTGCTCGCACGCTGGCTGTCCTCCTGCCTCGGGTCAACAGGCAGATCTCTGCAGGCAGGAGGAAAAACAGCTCAATTATTTGCACCATTTCTTTAGAACATGTCACAGATTGTAACATTTAAAAAAATGGCTAAATAATTTTAATTGCTATAGGATGATTTTTTCACGTTTCTCATACATACAATCTGTGCGATACCTTACAACCATATTTAGGTCTTTTTGGATCGATTCATAAAAGGAAAGGCAAAAATAGTTTTATTAGTGTGAGACGATAAAACATGAAAAGACCGATGCCTCTGAACCCCACAGATGGAGCACTTAATGCAATTTCTGCAGCTTACAGTTTGTCCTGACCTCATCTGTCGTGCCAGATCAGAAAAATAAAATAATGCCCCATTTAAAAAAAAAAAAAAAAAAATAGACATATTTTTCAGGACAGACATATTGAGGATATACAAACACACACACACACACACACACACACACACACACACACACACACACACACATACAGACAGACAGACATAGACAGACATAGACAGACACACAGAGACTCACATGCTCTCTCTCTTCTCTGTCCTGTTTATCAATTTAATCTATTTATTACACAGGACAACATGGACTTTATGAAATGTATTTTGCCAGGTGTTGGTTTTAAGCACCTGGTTTTCTGTCCTCATTTACCTTTCCTGTGTGTGTCAAGTAGTTAAACTACACAATGTTTTGTAATTATAATATCATTCTTGTATAAAAAAATGTGTACTGGATTATGGTTAAATCAAAATGTGGTTAGAAATAATCTCCATACTTTGGTACCAAAAAAAAGATGCTTGGGTTTTTGGATCACACCACTTTCAGCTGAAAATGCAAGTAAAGTAAATTATATATTGACGTTCCCTGGTTGACATTTAATAATGACATTTCACTTTGCTACACAGCTGGACGCAGACGACAACGTAACGAGGGCGAGAACAAATGAAAAGTTCTGGATTTCAGCTTTAAATATGGTGTTAACAAAAGGGAAAACCCCACAAATGGAATCAAAGATCACAAAGCTTTGCTCCTCTTAGTCCCAAGCCCTTTTAAGGAGATGATGTGGACAATTTTCCCAGCTGTATCAGTCAGGGAAGTTAATCTGCTGAGTGCCAGAGCAAAATAAATCAAAACAAATCATACTATCACCACTCCTTCACATACATTCAAACTGATCCGCTGCCAGCTCCAGAATATATTAACATGCAGTACAAACAGCAGGTTGTGTGCAGACATTACCTCCAAAATAAGAGCCGTCAGACAGCTTGGTGTCTATGCTGTTCTTGGTCAGGACACTGACGACGCCGTGCTGGATGAAGTACATCTTCTTGCCAATGGTTCCCTCTCTGATGATGTAGTCGCCCGGCTGGAAGACCTCGAAGCGCAGTTTGGTCAACATGGAGGTAACAAAGTTTGGGTCGGCGTTGGCGAACAGAGGCATGGAGGCCACCAGTTTACGACAGTTAAAGTTGATGATCTCCTGCAGAAGACAGAAAACACAAACAAAAGTGTTACTGCACGTGTATATTTCAATTATTATAAAAGCAGAGTAGTTAGTGGTGGCTTAATGCTCTGTTAATGAGGTTCTCTGTCCTCATACAGTCTCCAGCCTTTACTAATCAGATTACACGACTATTAACATTATCGTGCAAAGTAAGAGAGTCATGTTAGATTAGATTACACAAATAATTTACTCTTAGCCATGTAGAACAAGGATGCTCACTTAATTAATTCACCTATATGACCCTAAGAACCATAAAACATTTAAAATAATAAAATAACATACATTTCTAAACATTTTCTTTACTTTAACTCCCCCTTGAGCGTACATAAGCAATGGGTAAATAAATGGGTTATAACACACAATAATGTTGAAAGGAGCTATATAGACATTTTAAGTGGTCAATAATGCATTTTTTTAACAATTACAAATGATCTCCTATTCATAATAGTATTTAATATTATTAAATCTTTTAAATATATTATCGTTCATTATCTGTTTATACAGCAGCCTCCACTTCTGGGTGCACACAGGAGTTACAGCTGGTGACAAATAAGAAAAATAAACACGTATCAGCTAACTACAGTACACTACATTATAGTGTGTTATAAACATTTATTATATGTTTATATACTGCTTATAGAGGTAGGAGTTGTGGTGGACCTTGACGGCAACATTATGATGACTCAGCAGGATTATCAGCAAGACAACAAGAGCAAGGTAGATGACTCCTGACCTGTCGCAGTGGCTCATTCAGCTCCTCCAAAATGCTTTCCTCATCGAACATCTTGCCCTGATAACGGTGTTCGTAGTAATCGTGGATCCGCTGGCGCATGTCGGCAGGGAGCTTGTGGAAGGACATGTACTGCTCCACCTGTTTATACTGTAACAATAACAACAACAAGTCCAGTTATAAAAATTATAACGTCAATAAAAGCTTGAAGTGAACAACCACCACATAAATATATGTAATGTCACTGCTTGTGTGTCTAAGAGAAAATGCAAAGTCATGTCAAAATGACTACATTAACCTGATTGATGTGTTGGCTCAGAGGTGGACTATAATGTGCCTCATTATGTTAACAGTCAACTGTCAGGCCATCTGTGAAACCTGCCCACAGAGCAATGCTGTGCCTCTGTCCCATCTGACAGATACAGTTGTGCTCTGCAGGCTGCAGCTAATAACATTAACCAGTGTGTCCTTCACCGTTGTACTCTACCAGCGAGGCACATATGAATGGTCCCTGTACCCAATCTATGTATGTTATGTCCTGCTGTTAGTCATCTCCTTCCAATATCTTTCTTTTTTCTGTGTTAAAAATCCACAACAGCATCTCTTTTCAGCTATTTACAGTCTTCCACTGTGGGACGTTTTTTTCTGAGGCTGTCCATAGTGTCGACCGTAGCTGCACCTTGTTACCAAGACAAAAGTATCAGGGGATTGTTGCAACACCGACAACACAGCACTTTTGCATGTGCTAACTGTACTAGCTGCAGCCACTAGCTAGTTAGGGGTCCTATTAGCTGAGTGAAAGCTCCAAGTACCAGCGGGGTTTGTTTACTCACAGTCCCGACCACAGTGGTCACGGCCGGGACTGAACACAGGTGATTAACAGCGGCTCCAACCAGGACTATGACTTCTGGAACAATGAAGACTTGGCGGGTCCTCCATCGAATCAGTAAGTCTGCAAGTATTTATTTTAATGAAGTTGGAAATTATTTATTCCACATTCCACAAACAGACCTGTGTGATTTGTGATTATTCTGTTGTAATAAATTAACACAATGTTCAGTCTCCTTGCTTGTTCTGACATGTTCAGGATCATTACTGCTTTTTTTGTTATCATTTAACCGGCTGTTAAATTATATATATTTAAATAATTTAATTAGTATCATAAACGTTTGACGACTTGTCAACAAATGGCTTGAACTAACAATTTAAAAGTCTTAAATTGGGGACAGCCCTCGTTTTCTCAGATTACACCAGGTGGGTTTGCAACATTCCTGGATGAAATATTTTGTCACTTAATATCATCACCATTTAAACTGCATTTCAAATCAGTTTTTTAATACGTATTCAGATGATTTACTGAAGTAAAAGCAGCAATACTACAATGCAAAAGTAACGTTACTTACAGGTAAAAAAAGTGGTCTCTTGGATTATTACGTATTATGTTATTGGATTAAGGAATCATGGGGTGCAGTTGCAGATTGCAACTAACTAAACAATGAGAACGGGCTGAAGTGTGTAGGAGAACCTACGGTGGCTGCGAAACCCTATATACAGCCAGTGTTTGGTTTGTCCATTGAGGGCTACTGTAGAAATATGGCAACTGGCAGAGTCTGTAGATAAAACCGTCTCATTCTAAGGTAACGAAAACAAAATTCAGGTGATTATACACTAATGAAAACATACCTATGAATATTATATTTCATAACTGTCAATAGATCCTCCTAAATGTTACACACTGGACCTTTAATACTGATACATTGTTGTAGTTTGGGGCTTAACTAATTTATACTGTTAGATAGTACCACCTATGTTTCTGATATAAAATCACTGTTAAATAACTGTAGAAGAGTCTATGTATAAAGTGTTATAAAATAGAAATACTAAATTGTACTTTAGTGCTCGTGTAAATATACTATAATGGTTAATTCCACCACTGATTTAAACTCTCTTAGACCTAAAGTATATTGCTTTTCTTTGACAAATACCAGCCAAACAGAGAACAAACACCCACCTTCTCCTGGTACTGCCTCCTGGAGGAGTCCAGAGACTGAATGAGTGCAGTTGCGTGACCCACAAACATGGCAAAGCAGGTAGCGCCCACAATCATGCTGAGGATGGTGAGCCACACGTCAGCCATACCGATAGGGGGGTACAAGCCGTACCCGATGCACAGCATGTGACTCATGGCCTTGAACAGGGCGTAGGAGTATTGCTGACCCCAAGTGTCATTCTGTAAAGCACAAAGAGGAGGAAAGAGAAAGTTTATCAATATCCACATTGCTGGAACACATCTTATTTTAAAATCACGCCTTTATTTTCGAAGGTTTTTATTTTCAAAACATCATATTGCGATTATTTTGACAGATACTGCGATTGCAATATGATTCACGATTAATGTAGGAATGATCATTTTTGAATCACAAATTTTACTGAAATTAAAATATTAAAATTATGATGATGTGACATTTTTTTGCTGCTTGTATCAAACAAACATTCTCTGAAACGTCTCTTCAGAACTACTGTACTTCATTATAGTGCTGTTTTGTCACACATTTTACATTTATCAAATAATTGCAGCTTCTGGGATAATATAATATAATATTTTGATTAATTGTGCAGCCCTAGATGGCTTTGAAGCATCCTACCGAGGGGCTCATATCACCCTATAACAGGCTGACTTATGAGCTTGCATTATTCATTTTATGTTGATCAGCTGATTTATTATCATGACAGTGACCAAACAACCTCGCAACTGCCATCAGATTTTGACTCAAATGTTGCTAAATCCTGATTGGTGCACTGAAGTATGTGACCTTTATCCAGCTGAGACCGGCAAAACAAAAAATACCCCAAAAATCTCTTGTGAAAAACTGAAAATGTTGTGTTCATGCAGGACCCTGTCACTCATAGTGGTTATTGAAAACACAAGTTCATAAGTTCAGGGCCTTTAAGAGGAACACATTTGATGCAGTCTGACTCATAATAATCCACTTACCACCATCTTGTTTCTGGTGACCCAGCAGTCAGCAGGAAAGTCCTGCAGCATGGGAACCAGGAACTGCAGACAGCCGTCCCAGTGACACAGCAGCAGCATCATACCAATCAGGTTCATGATACGCACCATGGCGCTGGCCAGGTCATAGGTCATATGGAAAACCTGTAACACAGATTATCAGCATTAATGGAACTGAAACGATCAAACACTCATCTCTTTGTAAATAAATTTAAATTCTCTCTCATGCAATCAGAGGATTTGAAATATACAGTAGGTCCTGTATGGGCTGAAGGACACAGTGGTCCTGTCCCACACCACATTGTTCTTAATCTTCTGTAGACCACCAGAGGCTGTTTCAGTGTTGCATAACCATCTGCAAGCAACATTAATGGTCTGTGGGGAGTACAGCCTCAGTTGGAATTATAAAAATAAGATAATGCAGGAAAATATCTGTTATTAAATAGGTTGACTGCGTGTGAGCGTCAGAGGGGAACCAAAAAATTAAATCTACAGCTTTCAACAGCTTTAAGAATATGGACATTTGTTTTTTTACAATAAGCGGTATCATGTGTTTTTTCCCTGAAAGAAAAAAAAAAGTAGTAATCCAGACAAGGTTGCAAGTTCTGAGAAATCTGCTAATGCAAGGGAAAACTCATTATCAACGTCACTTCAGTCAGAGGAACATTTGAGAATATGGCTGCATTACTTTCATAAACTGATTAATCTTCAGTTCTAGGAAATGTCAGAAAGTGAGAGATGCCCATCACGCAAGGATGTTGGTGTCTTTAAATGACTTGTTTTGTACAACCAGCAGTTTAAAACCCAAAGATATTCAATTTACTACAGAATTTATGACATTTTTCATTTCAGTTATCAAAATTGCTGCTGATTAATTTTCTGTTGAGTAATTGGGGAGTTATCGACTAACTGTTACAGCTTGCTAAAGTGAGGTCTTATATGAAGAACCTATCCCTGCAGGATTTACCTCCTCCCACTGGTGGATGTAGCGAATGAGTCTGGAGAGGCGCAGCAGCCTCAGTAGACTGAGGATCTTAGTGAAGCGGACGATCCTCAGGGCCCGGGCCGTCTTGTAAAAGTCTGAGTCGATGCGTGTCTCTACGATGAGAAAGATGTAGTCCACAGGTATGGAGGAGATGAAATCCACCACGAACCAGCTCTTCAGGTACTTGATCTTGATCTGCTGCGGGTCCAGGATGATCTCTGTATTGTCCTCCTTGACGATGCCCGTGCGGAAATTAAGGACTAGGTCCATGAGGAAGAAGGTGTCCGAGACCACATTGAAGACGATCCAGGGTGGCGTGTGCTCGTCCTTGAAGAAGGTGATGCCCACAGGGATGATGATGAGGTTTCCCACCATCAGCAGCAGCATGGTCAGATCCCAGTAGAACCTGAAACACACATAACTCATATTGTAGATGACAGCACGCCAAAGTCATTTAGGCCCAGAAACAGTCTTTGGATAAATCATAAACTTCACTCATATATTTAGGCGTGTTTCCTGCTGGATGCAGAGTTATTTTAATGTTTAATATTATTTGTGTGCTCTCTTGTAATCTTTTATATACATATTATTGTGTCTGTTTGTATCATTAAAGTGATGTTTTTATGTTTGATGACTCTTGGAAGAAAAGGCCAATTGGGCTAAAAGAGATCCTAATAAAAAATCAAATAAATCAAATACCTTTCACAGAATAACTGAGCTGAATATTTATTCAGGATGCATTTTTATGCCCTTCTGAGATTTGAGAGTGGAGAGAATCCTTAAGAGATCAGATTGAAAAATAAAGAATAAAGTGACCAGACCAACAGATCATCAGCTATTTTGATAATTAATTAATCCTGACATTTCGAAAACAAAGAATTGTATATTCCAGCTTCTCCAACATGATGCTTTTTTTGTCATATTATAGTAAACTGAATATAATGGAGTTCTGGTCTAAAACAAGCAATTTGAGTAGATTACATTGGGCTCTGGTAGATTTTAAGGTGGTTGTTTTTTTTTTACCATTTTGAAACATTTTACAGACAAAACACTAAATCAATTAATCAAGATAATAATCAGCAGATAAATCAATAAAGAAAACAATCCTTAATCCTTAAAAGTAAGAAGACTGATTATCTGTAGTTTAAACTGTTTAGGCTGTTTTCTACAAGTACAAGAGAAAATAAAAGATCTGAGAGAAACAGGAATAGATTATGAATAGACACCGATTTTGTTCACCCAGAAGACTGCGTGTGCATGTCTATGTGCATAATGAATATGCGCTGCATATTCAAAGCTGTTCTGGACGTGAAGGAACTTCAAATAGAAATTAATTGCAGTCGCACACTATAACTCTAAATCAAGTAGATTTATGTTCAAATGAGCAGAAGCAATGAAAACAAACTGCTTGAGCATAAACAAAGCAACACAACGATGAAACAACGATGGTTCTCTAATTCAGTTCAATACTGGGCTTCTGGCCACAGGGACAGAGAGGAAAATGGGTTATTGGAATTCATCTGAATTACTGATGAGGACATATTGATTTTCACAACTAACTAAATCCTCAAGTATCAGCAGAAGGTTTCATCTGTAATTGCATGAAAAACAGCTGCTTTTAGTTCTGTTTACAGTAATGTCACCAAATCGTGAAGTAAATATGTATATAATACATTCAATTTCAGAGCTTTATTAACACATCTGGCAAATTATAACAAACAAGCTAAATATAAAGTCAAGTTGTTTGTTTCAATTGTTCTGTTTACTATATCATGGATATGGTTAGTTGTCACATGCTTTTATTCCCTTGATTTTGCGGACTGCTTTAAAATGATCCCTGCAGTATGATGTATTACAGGAAGCATGTACACATGCATACATCTCGGCTACACAAAGGCCAGCCAAGATATGGAGAGTGTTTGTTAACCAATTACCATCTTGAGTGCGTGTGAGATGGGAAAGCATGCATGCATGTGATTGCATGTCCGATCCATTTCAGAGACCTAATTAACCACTGATCGATCCAACAGCAGCCTTACACACCTACAAAGACGAAGACCTACGAGGGTGCATGCATTACACCACTTAAGGGTACTAGTGGCATGTGGCACTAGAGCGTACAGTAACTGCCCTGTATGAGTTAAATGCTTGATATATTCACCAGAAGAAACCTTAAATCAGAGGAATGGCAACATTTTCAAAAGCACTGATTGGTCAGACGCCTCTTCATCTTGTCAACAGCCTTAATTCAAAACTTCAGTCCATGATTGCCTCAGAGAAAAAGAGGAGTATTTGACTAAATGTGGGTAGTATGTGATGATGCTATGTCTATGAATGCAGCAAATAAAATCCATCAAGAAACAGCTAAGAGTCACGGGAAGCTATACTGTGTTCAGGGCAATGTGACATTTTATGGGCTCAAATGAGGGTCCAACAGTAGAGATGTGAGCAGGGTATACCACAGACTTATCTTACTTACACCAAACCTTCACGGGAGAACATCACGAAAAGAGGGAACCAACGAGGACACGGTGGCCATTTGTTCTAATCAGCTTTCTGTTGTTCTCTGCCAAACAAAGCATTTGCATTCCTCTCTTCATCTGCCTGTTGTCTCTGTGCTGACACACTGGTCCTAATTGCACTTCCCCTCTCTAGCTAAATCCACCGTTATCTCCTGGGAATCCATGTCATCTCCAGAAGTCAGCTCCATCGGCCAGATGTTGAGTTGTCAGCATTACTGCTCTGCACACGTCACCGTGCTACAGAACACTGGAACAGCTGGACCACAAAAAAGAAAGGTCTGCAGGGGACAGTGCATTACCGCCGTACCCTGCAGACCATCCTGTTCTCTCATCGGCTGACTGTGCACGCAGCATTCAGCCCACAAAGATCAGACAACTTGCTGGTGTAATCTGGTGTTACCGGCAAAATACAGCTGACAGTTGTGGGATAACTGGACCTCTACTGGTCCAAAGCGGAATCTTGCAATATTTGGGTCAGAGTGCAAACTACGTTAAAGACCATGAGAGCACAAAGAGAGGGGAGTTACAAGCAAAGTGAACACAAAAAGGCTTAAAATGGTGAAAGGAGCTTAGATCAATCAGGACAGCTGAAAAAGGGATCACATTTGTACTAGAGATACTTATCTCTTGCTGCCAGAGCGCAGCTGAAGCACAACAGCCTGCATGCAGCTCAGTGGCTTAACACACACCTGTACTGTGGCTCAGGCCCACCAGCAATCATATTAACCATATTTACACAGTGTGCCAGTTCAGTATGTCTGCCGCTGCATCCACGGAACGCTTTAATGATAGACAGCAGTTACTTATGATATAGACGACAGGGAGACTGTGTCTATAAAAGAAACAAGGAGAGGATACATGCATTACACTGTACTGTGCTGATGCACAGTGGTCATTGAAACACACAGTATGTCAGCACTCAACTGTCACCGGAATCAGGGGGTGAAGTTTAATGTTGCCGGATTAGGATTGGATTCATCAGTAAGCTAAAAATGACCCAAATACTCTTCAATGGTAACTTGAAATGGGATCTGCAGGATACAGTGTTCACCTTAAGAGGCCCACACCAAGCACCTGCTCCTGCTCTAAGTGTGACCCAAAGCGGGCGTGCATGAAGTAATGACACTATACACAGTTAACATCTGGGTGTCCTGATTCCTCACAACATCATTTTCATTTCAATCTCTCTCTCTCTCTCTCTCTCTCTCTCTCTCCCTCTCTCTGTGTGTTCAGTGTTTTGCGGTGTGTCCCCTCCCCTGTCCACACCGTCTCTGCTCCATTAGACTAATTGTACTGTAATAATCTCCACTGATGTGTGCTTCTAATATCTTGAATGGTCATGTTACCCTATTTTGATTACCCCATTTCCAAGCCCCTGCTGCACTCTCTGTAATCCATTGCCCTCGCTAAATGATAAAAAAAAAAGAAAAGTGTAATTCAGATGAGTGGAAAAAAACTGCAGGGACACACATTGCAGTACAACTGGCCGGTGAAAATATGATGACAGTGAGCCTCAAGGTTAAATGTCATGACAATCCCTTGATGGCGGTGATGAACAGAATGCTGGTTTGTATGCAGCATGCAATGTAATGTGGAATGTGCACGTATGCATGGCACAGCGTGGCTGCTAAAAATTAGGGAATTACAGGTTGGCTTAGTTTGGTGCACAAATTTAATTTATAAAACTGTACAGAAAATTGATTGGTTAGATTATTATATAGCCTATTCTTGTGTGAACATAACACACACACACACACACACACACACACACACACACACACACTTCTCGGGGCCAAACAAAAGAGGGATTTGATATATCCTGATCCTATATCTGATATAATTTGCCTGTACTTGTGTTTATAAGAGGATTTTGAATACTAGTCAATTCCTTTATGATACATCACACTCTAAGTGTGTACGGCCTGAGTGGTTAAGTCTTTAGAAACGGTTAATTTTCAGAAATGAAGCCATTTATCTATTCGAGGTGTGTATGGATTACTGAGGCACATTCAGCTTATGATATTCTGCACACACTCCTGATTATCACATTGTTATCATAACATCACCACAGTGATCAAAGAAAAACACTTGTTTTATATAGGGGATTAGTGTGTGTCAGTGATATTAATAGTAAACTTATCATATTTGATGGAATTTTAGGTCCCATCAAGATTAAGCTTTTATATAAAAAAATAAATAAGAGAAAAGATCACACAAGCTTTAAATGTGTGACAGGATCACTGCTGCACTTTCCTCTAAGACACCACTGCTTATAAAGAAAAGGGTTTGCTGCACACAAATTACCTAAAATCACTGTACGGGTGGATTATCCAGAAGCCAGCAGACTTTACTCGTTCCCTCTCATGCTCCACGGCCCTCTCACTCCCCAACATCCGCAGGGAGAACTTGTTGACTCCCGGTTGGAGCATCGCCCCAAACTGCCGGTGCATGAAGCCGGCTTGGTACAGCCGCTCGTCCTCAGGTATTATTTGCTCGCTACCCTCCAACTTGATTAAACTTGACTGGTCAAACATAGCAGCTTGTTCCGTTGCGCCACTCAGACCACCCGCTGCCCGCTGCTGGGCCCCCGGACCGTGCTGACCGGGGAAACTCTCACTGACACCGGCATCAGCCTCGGGGATGAGGCGCCGCTGCTCCGCTGGATCTGACCCGGGAGGATGCCGCCCGGTGATGGAAGAGATGCTGCCCCTAAATAAGCGACAGTCCCCGTTCAAGTTGGTCTTTACAATAACGTCCCTTTCCAAGTCTTCGCTCCTGGCCTCCTCAATGCTCTTGCAACTGCTTGCAGGAGACGGAGAGGACAAATGTTTTAGTCGAATACTTTTCCTCTTAGTGTCCTTGTCGCCGCTGTCTCCTTCGTCAATCACGAAGGGTTTTTGCCCAATGTTTTGCGGCAAGCTGTAGAGCCGTTTGCGCATGGAAGACTGGAATCTTTCCATTTTGAAGAAGGAGAAGAGATGCGCTTTAAGGATAGCCCGTGAAAACAGAGAGATGAATCATGAATCTCATGCACTTGGGGTGCCACTGGAGGCAAAACAGTGACGGCGCATCCGCAGGACAGGTTGTATTTTATTTGACACTTGGGATGTGCCTCTCTCCCCCGGTTCAAGCATTGAGATGCGTCAGCAATACGGGTCCGCTTCGGTCCGACGGTCATGTAAAGGCGGTAAACGGGAAATGCGTGTAAATCCAGGTAAACCCACAGCGTGCAGACGAGAGCGCATCAGGATGCAGCATGCTGAGCGTCGGACGTGCCGGAGTGGGAGAATGCTGCTGCTGAGCTCCTCAATGACAAAGCATGATCTCCACCTCCCCAAAATATCTGAGCTTTCTGTCAGTACAAGGTGATGACACACATGCACGCAGCTGGTAGCGGCATTCAAAGAGCGCTGACATCACTGATCCATTAGCCTCACGCCTTCTAATAACGTGAATATTGGCGGAGCTATAATCTATCGGGTTGCCATAGGAGCCGGAATGGCACATGCGCTCACCCCGCCCGGCCAGGACAACTGGAGGGGATGATTCAAGGATGGGGTCCAGCCTTGGATTTGATAGTTCACTAGTTGAGAGAAAGCGAGAATCTAAATATTTGTGCACATCACCGTGCGAATATGTATCGATCTGCCAGAAAAATAAACCAATATTGCAATAGTGTGTCGTGCTGTCGGAATCTAGACGCACACTTTCTGTGAGGCTTGTATCTGCAGCCTATTTAACAGTATTTTAGATATTTAAAGTATTTAACCATGCGGGCCAATGGATTATAAGACTTGTTTTTCTCTAGTGTCAGAATTTCTTATAAGTGTTATATAATTTTGCATCAAAATGCTGAAATCTTATGTCCATCATCTTGTTTTTTAGTTACGCAAAATGGATAAAAACTGTCTTTCTTTAGGTCTCATGACATCTCACTAAACGCTTTAAGTAAAGTGTGCCTTTGCAGTATATGTAGGACTCTGCATTAGAGATATGGGATTTATTAAGTGTACCAAATCCTCATATGTAGCACAACAGATAACAATAAACAAACCAGTGAAAACTCTCAGCATGATGTAATTTATCACCTCTCCAAGCCAACAGACCTCCTCCCTTCGGTCCCCTAGAGAGCCAAACATTTCCAATTTGGCCTTGAACCCACAGTTTGAACACCACGAGAGAAGTCAATGTGAATAATGTTCTTTCCTTATTGTGGATTTGTCTGAACCTTCATCACTTACCGTGATGGTATTATATTGAGCTACAACATGTTTGGCCTCCTGTTCCCTGTATTATGGCAGATTAATACACACTAATAGTGCGTGCAGTGTTTCATTCCCTGGAGAAGACATTTTCAGTCATATAGAAAAGTGATTGAACAGTTCGCTGGCACAGACCAACACGACAAATTAATTTGGTGAAAGGTTGTTGACAGCTGGTTGTGTTACTGTTGATTCAATGCAAACTTCAATTAACTGATCTAAACCATCACAATTTCATATGGTATAATGCAATATCTATATACCTATCTATGGGTTCACTATTTCCCATAATGCTCTGTACAGTACAAAAAAGTTTTCAATATAAATGTATGTATCTGTCTGCAGGTTATTATGTTTTCTTTATTGCTGCTTGTTATTTGCGTCTCTAAAGATTTCTTGGTCATGAACTGCCCAGATGAGGATTTCACACTCTTTATGTCTTATTTTAGTACTCACCAGTTATCACTCTCATTATGTTTGCAGGCAGCAAAACCTTGTAGGTTAAGCTCTCTGTTCATGTTGTTTGTATCCCCTCTGTCTTTGACAGAAATATACTGTATATGTGGCTTTGGCTGAATTCAATGACCACATAAAATGCTATTACTGGCGTTTGGCCACATTTGGTCTTTCTCAAGATGTTAAAATAATTATTTTGAAACTGTTCTGTGTTCTAATTTTCTTGCTGTCATGACCTAAAGACAAACACATGCACTATGATTCTCGGCAGCCGGGCCATCACCCCGTAACGGTCTGCACAGTGTTGGCTACCAGGTCAAAAAGATGTTGTTTGACAAGAACAGACAACTTGAAACAAAGGAGGTAAAAAAAAGTCCAAAGGAAGGCTACTGTGTTAACTTATATAATATATACATGTGTATAAACCTCCAACAAAGTTCGAATATACCCACTAAATTTGTTATTAAATACAATCCACTGGCCTGTTTAAGAACTAGTCCATCAGATTTATTTAAACTTTGCTACCTGAATGAGACATTAATCCACACAGACAGAACTACAAATCATTTTTGCCAAAAGTTGTGTTGTGTTTTTTTTTTTTCAGGGTTCACAAAGTCACAGATGTCTCTTTGCTCTAGAAATGTTTTATTATAGTCTGAATCCCAATGACACATTAATCCAGGACACAGTATTACCTTCTAGGAATCAGGTCCAGACAATTAAGTTGAAAAGGTATGAAAACACATTACAATATTCCATTCCTCTCCAGCTAGCAACAGTTATGGAAATGTGGCTGAAAGCCCAACAATGAACCTGTCCACTGGTTCTACCAGCCAGCAGGCACAATAAAATAGCGCCCCCCTTTGCTATACTACTGCAATTTCCCACATAATATGCTAAAAGTTCTGCACAATACTGTTTCAGAATAACCCAGAGGAAAAACACACCCAGTTGCCAGTTTATTAGGCACAACTAGCTCTCAGTGTTGAAAACTGTTTTAAAGAGGTGTTGATACAACGATATGTTTAATTTAGAGGCTGTATGGTGCAGCGCTGGTCAGTTGTATCATTGAGGGGTTTTCCACAGTGACAAAACACAAGACCCGGTCAGACGACAGGAGGCAGACTCTGTGTCAGTGATTCTTCGTGCTCAAACGCAGTCAGTGGATGGACAATGTTCACCAGATGTGAAATTCTTATTGTTAAGATGTCGACCATATCATTGGCCCAGAGACTTCACCAGTGTGTTTGCTGTTGTTGCTACTCCAGACGCAAATTCAAGAAATGCACTGCAGGAACTGTATGAGGTCCTCAGCAGTCACATGACAAAACATGGTGGTGTTTTTATAGTTGTTGGTGATTTTAATCTCAGAACTGTTTTACCTAAATTCCACATGCATATAAATGTGGCAGACGATCCAAAACGTCACAGGCCAGCAAGAGTGCCCCCATCATGTGTGAGGTCAGGCAACCAGTCGAGCTCAACACATTGTATGCCTTTTTTGATTTCCTCCACAAAGAGTCAGCTGTAAAGTCAACTCTGCTTCCAGAGGATCCACCGATGACAGTATCTACAGTGGATGTGAGAAGAATCCTGCTGAGAGTGAATATGACTAAAGCTGCTGCGCCTGATAACATCCCTGCCCGTGCACTAAAAACATGTGCCAGTGAGCTAGTTGATGTCATTACATTACAATCACTGTCACATGAGAGTGTTCCCACCTGCTTCAAGACAGCCACCATCATCCAGGGGTCTGCAGTATCTACTCTAAACGATTAAGTTATGTGCTTTGAGAAACTGGCATAAAGAATAACATCTCTTCAGAACCAATAGTTCCACAGAGAACACCATCTCCACTGCCATCCATTCAGTCTTCACACACCTTGAGGAAAACAACACCTACGTAAGAATGCCGTTTGTTGATTTCAACTCAGCATTCAACTCAATCTACCCCACTCTGGGCCTGAGTACCATAATCTACAATTGGTTTCCTCATAAACCCAGACAGTTCGGATTGGAAGTAACACCTCCTCCACTCTAGTGCTCAACAGCGGAGCGCCTCAGGGCTGTGTACTCAGCCCCCTCCTGTTCAAGTTTGCAGATGACAGCACCATCATCAGCCAGATTTCACACAAGACTTCATATGAGGAGGAAATCAACAATCTTATAGAGTGGTACACAGAAAACAACCTACTACTCAATGTCAGCAAAACCGAGGTTGTTGTTGATTTTAGGAAAAAAGAAGCAAAGACACACATTCCTGTTTACATCAGTTGAGCTGAGGTTGAGCAGGTGAACAGTTTTAGGTTCCTGGGAATCAACATCCCAGAAAACCTGTCATGGTCATGTCATGACTCCATCACTGTATTTCTTAAAGTTAAGAAAGCAAAATCCCGAGCCAAGTTCTTGATAACTTTTAAAGAGGAGTGAAAGAAAGCATTCTGACTGGAAACATTACAAACTGACACGGGATGTGCACGACCCAGGACAGGAGGACTCTGCAGCGAGTATAAAGTCTCCTAGTGCAACTCCCAATTAAAATTTTCACTTGACACAAAGAAAGTTTTGGATACTTTCTTTTTCCACATTTTGCATAACTGGCAATTAAAATGATATAATGTGCAAATTCTATATGGATATACAATTTAAAATCCCTACAATACCAGGAACATAATTTTGGTGGAGAACTATGAAGCCTTTAGTCTGGTTCACAGATATTTACAGTCACCACAGGCATCCAGTCAAGGATAACAGACACACGTGTAGTCTGTTCAAATCTTTAGTTCTCCATAAATAAATCACAAGAACTGAGTGTGGTCTTTAATCAAAAGAAGTATATATAAATTATATTAGAATTTGGTACTACAGTATTTCTCAGGAACCTCACAGTGAAGTTTTCTTAAAGCTCCAACGTGGACACTTCATGAACACAAATAGCCGCCATAACACTTCCCCACATCCATTATCATCCCCCTTCAACACTTTGACTCGTTAGATAAGTAAAAATACAGTTCTGTGCTGAAAGAACAAGCCAAAGCAAATACACAAGAAACATATTCTTAATGAAGGCCATGCAGTCTTTGGCTTCATATGCATAGTGCATGGCTAGTGCCTTAAATAGGACAAACTTAAATTACAATTAACAAATAAGGTATCAATTAATACTTGCTGTAAAGTTTATACATAAATACGTAACTTCCTCGTTTAAATTGTGAAGACTTCACAGCCATTTCTAGAATATAACACGGGGTGGTCATATTTTCCATCTTTTCATATCCATCAGATGTGTGCTTAAATATAGCATTACTCTTGAACTGAAGGGTCTAGTTTATCTAGAGTATCTTATTTTATTTTTTTATTTCATTAGCTTATTTGAGAGACTATGCTCATTGATTATAAAAAATTAACACTGTAAACGAAACCCAAATTTGCTTCGAAGACTGTTTTCAGGAGTTATCCCTGGCCAGATGTTAAAAAGAAACCACAACAACATATATACTCTTTCTAGAAGTCTTGAGTCTTAAGTGATGTTTTTTTGTCTGACAGTTCTGAGATTTTTGTGCACCAGTGGAGAATTTTTAATCACGGTTTGCTGGTCTTTGTTCCTCTGATGTCTGAAGTTCATCATGTTCAATGAGTCTGCTGTGAGTCACTCAAAATCTCACTAGATGGCGATGTTCCCCACATGCTTTTATTTTTCTGCATTCCCATGATGGGACAGCCTGTGTGCATCCTGAGTGGTACGATTGAATGTCTGGTGTGTCTTCACATGAAAAAAAAACAACTCAACAGACACGTTTTCTTTTTTGAGATATTTATTCTTAAAAATGACTCGGGATCTTGCAATTGCTTCACATGTGTCAGTCCTGACGTGGGCTTCTTTCGCCTCCTCCCACGTCAGCTGTAGAGTATTCATGCAGCTGTGTAGTATGCCATCAACGCTCTACGGTGATCCTACTAGTTTAAAGCTTTGTCACAGAGAAATCAAAAGCTGCAATGATTTTCAATATATTGATATTGATATAATAATTGCATAGGATAATAGCCATGCTGTACAATACACATAATTATAAAACAATCGGTTAGAATGATTAGTACAGATCTCCTAAAGTAGGTTTATACAGTATTTCATTATTCTCAACATTTAAGTGCATCGTATAATATGAATAGTCTTTATATTAATGCTGATCTGATACATAGTTATAGTGATTTAACACATACAGTACATACAGTAAAGTAAACCTTAATCAAATTTAGAGGGACATTGCAAAGCCCTTAGAATGTAATAGTCTGATAAA